AAAAAAAAGGGGGGGAAAATCCCACCCGGGTTTTAAAAGAAAAAAAAAAATTTTTTTGCAATCCTCAGCCACATTGACTAAGACAAAAGGCCAGTCAATATAAACAATGACTTGATACTAAGAAGGATTTTGTATTAAAAAAAAAAAAAAAAAAAAAAAAAAAAAAAAAAAAAAAAAAAAAAAAAAAAAAAAAAAAAAAAAAAAAAAAAAAAAAAAAAAAAAAAAAAAAAAAAAAAAAAAAAAAAAAAAAAAAAAAAAAAAAAAAAAAAAAAAAAAAAAAAAAAAAAAAAACCACCCCCAACCCAGGGAAAAAAAAAAAAAAAAAAAAACCACAAAAAAAAAAAAAAAAAAAAAACAAAAAAAAAAAAAAAAAAAAAAAAAAAAAAAAAAAAAAAAAAAAAAAAAAAAAAAAAAAAAGGGGGGGGGGGGGGGGGGGAAACAAAAAAAAAAATTTAAAAAACAAAAAAAAGAAAAAAGGGGGGGGGGGGGGGGGAGGGGGGGGGGGGGGGAGGAAGGTTAAAAAAACAAGGAAAAGGGGGGGGGGGGGGGGGGGGGATGGGTAAAATAAAAAAAAAAAAAAAATAACCGGGCCGGGCCCCGCCGGGGGGGGGGGGAAAAAAATAAAAAAAAAATTTATGGGTTTTTAACCCCCAAAAAAAATTTAAAATTTATTTAAAAGGGGGGCCCCCCGCGGTAACCCCACGGGGGTTTTTGGGGCCTTTTATAAAAAAAAACGGCCCCCGTTATTTTTTTTTTTTTACCGTTTTTGGTTTCGCCCCCGACCCCCACAGCGTTTTGTGCTCTAACCAATTGAGCTACCGTGTTAACAGTGTTGGTTAAATTAAATAAAAATTGCTAATTGCTCATGTGTGTTCTCAACTCGATGTTTATTGTATATAGTGCCATCATGTACAATAACGTGTAAAAAGTTTTTTTTAATTTATGTAATTGTCATATTAAAGTTTTCAAACCTTTTAACTAATAAACTAGTAGGCAATGTCGCTCGAAACCAAATCATGGTCCCAATATGGTTCCCAGTGAGGTCCCAGTGAGGTATAGCTTTCACTGTCTCGTCTTGCCTTTTTGAATTTATAAGGAATTGCTAAAACCTTTGTTTCAAGAGTTAACAAAGGTAAACCTGAATACATTGTCTCGTTACGTTGTGTTGAATTATGAATATTTTCTGAGAGAATTCAGTCACTTTACCTGTGGATAAAGGAACAATTATTACGAGGAAAAGTTATTGCAATAATGATGGTATGTGATTTATTAGTAAAAATAGCAAAAATAATAAAGTTGTGAAATACCCGTGTGGGGTATGGGCCACACATTTCTTTTCTCCTAATACTACTGTAATTTACGCGAGTAGTACACATTTAAATAAAACATTTTAACGGTTTAAAACACGAAATATATTAGTTAAACTTATTCAAAAAATTATATAAACTACGGCCTGACGTTTCGGATACCGTCAATAATTTATTTTTCAAATAAGTTTGACTAATTTATTGCGCGTTTATGTCGTAAAATTGTTTTATTCAAATTGACTAATCTATTCTATTTACAGGCAAATAGCTGGAGAAATGTCAGTGTATATTCCGAAAGAAACTTTTTATTTTTTCCCCGGGATTCAAATTCAAGACCTCCCGTCTCAATGCAATAGGCAGGACATTAAACAATGTAGCTACTAAAACGGCCAACACTATGACAAGCTTAGTAATGTTAAAACTTCCAAATCCAAGATAAGTCGACGACGCTTCCTGTAGGGATGTTATATGGCTCAAGCATTTTTACTTCCATCAATTGAATCTTTTTCTTGTATGTTCTGCTTTGCCTTAAGAAATGAAGTGTGTTTTTGGAACAAAGGAAGAACAATTCCTACTGCTATTTTTTTTACTAAGTGATAAAATAATGTCATGAAGTACGGGGACTAAAATAAAACAGTACATTCGATTAGGTATATTTATTGAAGACGTACAATTAACTTAATTAAAGAAAGTTTCAAAAGTTATTTACAAGGTTTAAGAAATATTTGAAAAACGTTGAATAATCTAGAATAAATCATCTCTTGTTTAAACGTGATTAGAAATCATCTTCTTAACTTTATGAGATCCGAATAAGAGGTGACCCCGCCGTCCGTAAATACTTATAGTAGGGTAGATACAATTCTCATTGTCCATTGGACATGAGACAGCAAAGTATAGTTTGTATATACGCGAGTTAACAATTGAAATAAAATACTTTTAACGGTTTAAGACGCCAAATTTATTAGTAAACTTATTTTTAATTTACTGTAACAATTCCCCGACGTTTCGGTTGCCTGTTTTTTTGACGAAGCCGTGATCGTTGAGAAACTAATGTTGAGGGTGTCCCTAATTTTACACTGTTACGCTATCGCCCTCTGTTTCAGTTGGTATTGGGAGAATTATAATTCACGTTTTGTACCCTTAGAAGTGTTTTAAGTTACCAACTTCTTTGAATAGAATCTAGGCTTAGTAAATTATATGTACCTTCTAAGTTAAGACATTAGTTAAAGATCATTTACATTCGATTCAAAGAGAGGGATGTTGGTGTTAAGTAAGTGAAAACTTTGACGCGGTGTATATTAGATAGATTCCTTTTTCGATAGTTCAAATCGAGTTTTGTCAATTTTAATTTCCATAAAATAAACAACTATAAGTGTAATTCCGGACGTGGTCGCCACCACTACAACTAAGTATAAAATTATTGCCCTAATAAGAATAAACTACATTTCAATATTAACGTGCACAACATTTAACAGTGATTAAAATTACTTAATCCATAACTAGTGAATCATAGCTTAACCAAAGTTAACTTTTTATAGTTAAACAATAACACCATAAATTAGAACTTTCGACTTAACCTACAAACTTAACCGATTTCCTTTGATATGCTTGATATTCTTGTTTAGGGTCACTTTGCTGAAATTAGTTTTGGCATTCAATAAAACACGTTTAACGGTTTAGAAAACATATTGGTAAAACGGTTTTGTGTTTAAAACGCGTGAAACGTTTGGTTGTTAAAAATCATTTAAGTAATATATTTTGTGTTTTAAACGGGCTAAAGTGTTTTATTTAATAAGTTACAGACAATAATTAATTTATGTATGTTATTATTAATTTTGAATAATTGTAGTCAAAATGACTTCAGGATAAAGAATTTTCAAAAGTAATTGTTAATATTATTATACATAATAACTTAAAAAAACACCCTGCATTTTTATGGCTAATTAAAATGTATTACGAATAAATTGCTTCTCTTTTTGTGCCTGGTCTTCAGAGGTTTCAGCAAAGTTTCCCTATGTACTGACCATCCGATCATTTTAATTCTAACTAAGACTATTAAAAGACATTATAATCACAATGAATCGTATCGTTCGTGCATGCTTACATTAGGTTTGTTCTATGTAGAATTAAAATACAAATATTCGTTGATCGTGAAGCTTGGATTGGAAGCGTACCTAAATCTAAAATGAAGCGCTGCTTTTTCGGTCTGTTAGGAGCGTGCCTGGTCGACGTCGACAGATCTCCTCGCCGCTAGCAGACCGAAAAACCGTTCACAATTTACATCTAAATGAAATAGTGTTTTCAAAATTCGCTTACCAAATATTCAGTGTCTCAAACGTGGAACTCTTCTCGCGTATCATCTATGGACCTTTAATGCTAATTAGGCATTACTTAGACTTAACTAACTCTTCAGTCTTGGACGTTACACTTAAATAGAAATACTCTAGAACCCGCGTCGAACAATCCATCGCACTTATCCCAAGAAAATCAGGGTGGACTGTTTCAATGAGGTTGCGCTAGCGCAGAATGAATGATTGAGAACAGTAAATAGACACAGATAATTTTGAAAATGTCTAAGTTTTTTTTTTGTAATTTTAACTTCATAAGTAGCTATGAACTTCTATTTGGGGTTCGAAGCCGAACATTACAACAAACGACTCACTTCTATTGTCGGTAGGATGTTTGATGTAAATATTTAAATAGAACTAGTTAAATTTATTAGCACACATCGAATTTAGGTTGAAGGCGACTTCGCGTCTCATGTTTTTAACAATATGTAAAAATCTTCTTTCTTTAATTAAAAGAAAACTATGTGAATCTTCACTATTCTCTGATATATTAGATCTCTGATTTGAGAGGTCGAAAATATAAGATTAGGTAGCGTAAATACAAAATATATATATTTTAAAATTCGAAATTATTAAGCACGTTTCCGTCTCTTTCACTCACCATACAATAGAGTGAGCCAAATGTAATCTGCCATTAGCTAACCCGTAAACTTTGAACATACCTAAGACTGTAGGAAAAATCACATACACTTAAGTAACCACATTGAGAGTTAAGACACATTGCACGACCCGATATGACAACATCTAAAAAGAGAAAGCGAAAATGTACACACTGTTATACGAATTACCTAATACTTAAGCTATCCACTTACATATTAATAAATTAATCGATTCTAAAAGGAAATCACAAACATGTAAACGTCTGTTAATCTAATAAACTTGTATAAGGGTTGCACACAATACTTAATATATATAAAAATATATTGCTCAGGGTTCCACTGGGTACGGTTTATCAAATCAGTACTCTATAAATGCCCGTATTTAAATCCTATTAATATATTAGTATAAAATACCAGATCAACTAAGATAAATCAAGGAAACGCCGTTTGACTCTAAAATTTGTTCCCACTCCGAAACTAGGAATCGTAAACTATATGCCTTTATTTACAACGAAACGAGAATACGCACCTAAAACCAGCCAACAATTATAACCTCAAAATAACATAGTACGATCGCTCATATACGTAAATAATTTCTTTAAAATTGCTTAGCCTACATTACGCTAAAATGTATATATATAAATTATTATAAACTTTTTAAAAAACTCTCGCCTAGTGATATCTGATATGTTTGAGTTACATTGATATGTATTATCACAACAATTTTTTTTCTAATATACAAATAGTTAGTCCTCCGGCCAGCCCAGGTCTTCGCCGACCAGGTCGTAGAACCTCTGGTTGTGCTGGATGAAGAACTTACGCAGTTTCGACACCACTGCTGGGTCGACCCTCGGATGCTTACGACCTTTCGTTTCTCGCAGACATTTATCGGTCGTGTCGTTACGGAGACAGTAAAAGCCTTTCGTCTCGTTGAAGTAGAAGTTCTTTCTACCTGTTCGAGAGTTTAACAATGTTTAATCGAAAATTGTAGCTATTCTTAGTTGGAGTTAAGGAAGCGTTTTAGTTTATATCCATATAACTTTTATTATTGTGTTAAATTAGACACAAAGTACAAGTTAGTAAACGTTTATACACTACACTGTAACGTCCACTGAGTACGGTACAGTGTAGAGTATGAATACATTGCAGTGCAGTACAGAATAGTGTTGTCTTGTACTAATTATTTGAATTATTTTGAAAAATAAAAAACGTTCAATTTTTACAATTATATAAATGATGTAATTTAAAAATATATACTTTTCAAATTATAAGCATAGTTGATAGAGAAAAATGTCACTCACACAAGGCACAAAGTTCGATATCCGTTTTTGTAAATGTAAAAATGTAGTTTTTAAACGTACTTTGTAAACGACTTACCAATTTTATGCTCAAGTCCCAAGAACTTTTCAATTCTACGCAGCTGCGGTACGGGATCCTCAATGAGCTGGTCTCCGTTTACGACTAGGATCTGCTCTCTAGGAAATACTTCCAGCCACCGATGCAGGTACGCGTGGTACAACGATATTGCTATAGGTCTAAGACAATGAAAAATAAATCAGTTGTCCGTAGTTTACGCGAGTAGTACACATTTAAATAAAACAATTTAATAATAAAACACTTTTAACAGTTTAAAACGCGAAATATACTAGTGAAAGCCGTCGTAGCAGAGGGACAGTCTACAATGTATTTAAAATGTCATGCCGGAATGTATTTACTAATATATTTCACGTTTTAATCGTTTTATTTAAAAGAAGCCGGTTATCGGTTATTCTGTTAACACTGTCGCTGCTACCAGCTGACGACTAAATTGTAACAAAAATGTGATAAAATATACATATTTGGATTTATTTGAATAAAGCGATAGAGCTAGTTTGAATCTTTATTTTTTATTTCTTTATGCCCACAGTAAGCTATTGGATTAAGCTACAAGAACATCACTCATAACTTTCCAACAAACACTCATTCTTTATCTGTTCTTTAAAAGCGTAAATCTTAACATTATTACAGCACGCAACGCTAGGAAACTTATAATATTCATTCTTGCGACTTGCCACCGGCACGAGAGTCATAATGATCTACTTTGTAACCGCATTGAGTTAATCGAAGATTTTTCCATAAAATGTTCGTATGAATTATATATACGTAACGAAGTGCATAAATTTAATTTAAAAAATAACGTTATAAAACGCGATATGTATTGGTTAACTTACTTTTAAGCAAAGTTTCACATTTACGGGGAGACCCCCCGTGACCACGGCTGCTGCAAAGCATCCGAAACGTCGGGCCGAAGTTAAAAATCATTTCCAAATAAGTTTAACTAATATATCGCGTTTTAAACCGTTAAAGTGTTTTATTTAAATGTGTACTACTCGCGTAAACTATAGACAGTGTTTAAAGTTTCACATGTTGAGCAGCATTCGTGGTCATCGAAACAACTAAAGACGTCGATATCGCGTTTTAAACCATTTCTTAGTCTTTAGCTTTCTAATTATCAATCTCTGCGTGTTTAGTATAGAAATATTTATCATGTTTACTATGTTTGTAGTAGTAATATTTGCTCAATAACATTAATTTCGTAAATTAATTATTTTGCCCGTCAACATTTATCGCGTTTATTTTGAGTCTTTTAAATAATAAAAAATCACTTATTCACGTAGCTAGGTAGTTTTATTAACTTAAATTTACTTTTAGATTTACTACCAATTCTAAATCAAGGCAAGAGCTACCAAGAAGAATCGGCAAGAAACTCGCCGCCACTCCTTTTATTGCCAATTTCTATTTTAAAGTCTTCACGGACTTTAAGTGCACTTCATAGTTTTTCTTGTTAAAGCGGGTTCCTCCACACCCCAAGCATTTTTATCGTTTGAATATTAATTAACATCATGATAACTTTTCCCAGTAGTTTTTTAGATAAGATATAATTAAGATCTCGTATGCAATTACTTTGAAAAGAACTACTACTTTTACTAATCACTACACTATTGGTGTAGTTCTAATTAGCGTTAGTCCAATAAAGAAATATAGTAACTTCTTTTTCGAAATGTAAATCTATCTGTCTATATGTCTCATACCTATATGCAACATTGATCGATCCATCCGGTGATATAGCGAGATGCTCAAACGGCTTCCCGGCGTCCGGAAGAGGATGGCCAGGCGAAGACAGCGCAGGCGCAGATGGCGTCGCCCTGCTTCGTAGCTGAGTGTAATCGGATATCGCTCTCGTCACCGGCTCTCGGACTATTAGCAATAACCTCACCGAAGAGTTCATAGCTCGAACGCGTTCTGGTACCTGAATTAATAAGCTGGTTAATATTTTTTATAGATTAAAAAAAAATTACTACCAGAGCAGGACTTGAACCGGCATCATTAACCGTCTCCGGGACTCAAAAGTTACACTCAATAGTAACACGTGCTTAGCGTAGAAGTCTGATCACCTTATGCCTTAGCTTGCCCGTATGTAAAATTAATAAGTGAAAAAACGGGAAATTGTCGCCAATCGTAACTCATTACTTTCAAATCCCACAAAATTCGAATATGCTGACCTCAGGGGTAACAAAGTAACTTGGACTCTTCTCGATTGTTATCTGCCCTTTGAATGAGAGCGGCATCTTGCTTCTATACCACTCGAGACCCAACGCGTAATTCTCATCGCGGTCAAAGAAATGCACTTCCCCCGAAGCCTTCTGCACCATTGGATGGAGGTACAGCATTTCTAGCAATGCTCTAGTCCCGCATTTACGTACTCCAATAATGAGGGCCTGCGTTAAACAAGGGTTAAGGTTCAAATAATAACTTTGAAGAAAAAAAATATCGATTAAGAATCATAATATCTAATCTTAATCTCCTATCCGTATATAAAAAAAAATGTTTAGCCGCCGTAACTATTGTTGTAAGTACTGACTTGAGTTTGACATAATGGCGTTAAATAAATTAAAAATTTATTTACATTGTAAAAAAAATACGACACGGGCAGTGCTTGAACCAACATCCACAGCATTCCATCTAAAAAATACTATCATGTGTTTAATTTATATATGAAGAAGTTTCTCGAAACTTATGCATATATTATAAGTGTATGTATTATTTCTTGCCTAATTTGAGTCGAAAACCTTATCTTTTTGGTTTTCGATATGCCGTTTTAATTGTTTTTATAATAAATAAATAAATTGATTTCGAACCTATAAAACACTGAAATTGATGGACGAATAGTTTCTCGTAAAGAAAAACTTAAAGGACACGATATTAAAAATAGCCGTCATTTCTGAAAAATGGACTTTACATTAGTTACTCGTGGGATTTATTTTTTAATATTTTATTTTGGCAAAACTCCTAAATCTTAGAGCTTACTTACTCTTACTTAAAACGTTCAAAAAAAAACAAATTGATTATCTTCTATAAAATAATCAATGTATCTTGGACAAAAACATGTAACAACTAGCTGTATCACTGACTTTGTCCGCGTAGAACTGTTATTTTGGGCATACAAAATTCGTTTTTGTATACCCCTTCATTTTTATAAACTTAACCTGCTACACACGACGTCGGTCGCATCCCTTTCCGTCGTTTTTGCAAGTTAATCTTAAAAGATAGATATATAGCGTCGAGGACTTTTTTTAGATTATTTAAAAATCAATCATTCTTTCATATATTTTTTTGGGGATCTTGAACCGTTTTTGCATTGTAGACCTCGGAAACCCATAATATATAAAGGTGAAGAGTTTGTTTGTTTGTTTGAACGCGCTAACCGCAGGAACTACGGCTTCGAATTGAAAAATTATTTTAGTGTCGGTTAGAGAATTTATCGAGGAAGGCTATAAAACACCGCCCTGTGACTCGACAAATACTCTAACCAACACTAAGTAGTTCCTGAGATTAGCACGTTCCAACAAACAAACCTTTCAGATTTTTTTTCAAATAATTAGCTACCTAACTTTAAAAAAAGCAGATCTATCAAAAGTTTCCTGAGATAACTACCATTAAAGAAACTATTCATCTTTTTATTAGAAGTATTTAGCACTGAGTGGGTGTTAAGACCTTCTGTGGAAAGGAAACGTAATGAATATTTAACGTTCAACTCAATTTCGTACAATAACGAAAACTTCGTGCATCCAATTCTGCTATTTAACCCCCGCTTCCTTGAAGTCGTTTAATAAACATTAGACTCAAAACTTAACGAAAACTTTAATAATGCCGGAATAATTGTTCATTTTGACGCTTATTTAAAACATAAAGCTATTTTGAGCCTACACTGTTATCTTTACTATAATTATAAAGCTATAGTTTGTTTGTTCGTTTTGACGCTGCTGTAACTTATCGCTAGAACCACTTGTTCTTATTAAAAATTTTCCTTGGTGATGGATAGATGGATGGGGAGAGGTTTAAAATCACCTATCGACAAAATTGTGGTAAAAACCATTCAAGCAACCAAAAAATATGCATTAAATGATGTTTCCCTTTTAAATTATGTAAATAAATTTCCACAACTGTATATTATGTCTATCTTTTAATATGAAGTCACGAGAACCGTTATGTGTAAGAGTTGTATTAACATAAAAATAAAAATATTTATCTAAATAAATGTGTTGTATTTAAAATATTCGATGCGTTATTCTGTACTACTAGTAATAGGTTATTCTAGAGAGCTAATTAGCAAGATATATATATAGGTATCGGTAGCAATATCTAGATAAGGCGAGAAGCAAAATTACCTGAGGAAGTCTGCGGGCTGGTCTCGGCGTGCGTGGCGGTTTCAACCTCTTTCGTAAAGCCATAGGGTGGTTTATCGTTCGGCTGCCCTCTTGACTTTGTAGTATTTTACGACCCTCGCTAGCTGCTGATGCTATACTCGCGGCCTGGTTACAGATGGGCTTGGTTAAATGTATGACTGATTAGAAACGGGTCGTAGGTTCGAATTCCGCCGGATCCAACATGTATTTAACATTTGAAAACTAGCATTTTCACATATTATTAAATAAATCTACCTGGACCGGACCTGAATTGGTTGAATTGGTTATTCAACAACGCTGTCGATGCCGGGTTCAAGACCTGTCTGTTTTAATTTTTAAATTTATATCATACTATCAAAAATTGTAATATAATAAAGTCTTTAAATATTGAATTCCTCTATTAATCGTCAATACATATAGATTTTTAATTTATATATCTATATTTTCCTCAAAAACGTTAGACCTTGTCGGGAAAATCTGACCATTAATTGACTGGAAAGAATGTTAAAATTAAAAAGATCAACAAATTAAAAATAACGTGTTTTTTTTGCTTTCTCTGTCATATTAAAACAAGGCAAATAATTCGTGGTCCTATTTAAAAACTCGGCTTAAAACTTTTGAAAGCCTAACTTTATTACACTAAAGAATTCTCTCGCCCCACAAATATATGTTAATTAAGTTGAGTCCTAATGCGGGGAGTTGGAAAAAAAACATTAATTTTTCATAGTTATAACTGAAGTTGCGCGAAAGTATAACCAACAAGTTATTTGTAGCGGATAAAAGCTCCCAGTTAACAAGTGTGCGAAAGTTTTCCCACGAAGATTCTCACAAGTACCGGGTAACCTATACCTGAACTTCGACTGCTAAACTACCATGCTCTACTTTGACGTTAATATTTATCTTTAGGGTTCGTTAAAAGAAGGAATTACGAATATGGCAGTCTGTCTTTCTGTCACTAGGTTTTATCTCAAGAAACACAATAGCTAGAGAGTTTTAATTCATAAATTGTAGCACTTGCAAGGTTTCCGTATAAAAAAAGAAAATGTTGATAGATATATCAATGAATTGAAATAACTAAAAATCTGTTGTAATAACTAAAAAAATGTTAAACACTTCACGGTTCACGCGATACATTTACATATGTTACGCGTTTTAACCCGTTGAAAGTGTCGGATTGAAGTTTCAGATACTTTGCAGCAGCGTAGTTCGTAGTTAAAACAATAAAAAAAAATATTTAATACTTAATCCTATAAACGTTTTACTCAACGCCGAAACTAAAAAAGGGCTAGTTTCTTAAGAACGTGTTTACACGATAGACTTAACATGGTAAAACACTTTGACAAGCAACTACTTTGTCCGATTATAGTACATTTGCAGTATTGAATTTTTACCTGAATTCATGCTGCTTAATAATACATTAATTTACTAAATGCACTATATTTAGAAGTAGCAATGTAGATATCATTGTTAGTAGAAAGGATTAACTGAGTCCTAGTTTTTCTATTTTCCTTCTAGGAATCCGTTGCACGAAACATGAATAGAAGTGATCTGCAGAACTAGAGTAATTAAAGGTTGTATAAATACAAATTGAATAGTTTGAAATAAAAAAAAGTGTAATGATAGCAGTGAATGGCTCGTGTCGAATCAACGGGTCACGGGTTCAAAACCCATGAGATCTAACATGTTTCTAATCAATTTAAATCATCTTGAAATATGGATATTAAATTATGTTATATTATTTAACCTTTAACCAGTATTTAACCTTCCATCATGTTAATCTCGCGCTTGTTTGAAGGACAAACAAGTCATAAAAATTGTGACTTTTTTTTTAGAAATGTTTGTAGCTTATCTAGAATCTATACTGTTAATAAATCAATAGAAGTCGTGTAATATATTTTATGACATATTTGCTCGTGGTTGTAATTACACCAATTTCAATATCGTAATGTATCTAATTACGTACTTGTGCGATAATGTAATGTAAAAGGCACGTGTTCTTTTTCTTAGCAAAGAGGTTTTATGTCAAGAAAGTGGTCAATATTTTATGAATAAAATTAACTTTGGGAAATAAAATATTACAAATAAATATTTAATTCTTTAATTTAATTAATTTTGACAATAAATTACAACCATTTATCTAAAACAAAAACACAAAAATATTTTTGTACCATTGCCTAAAAAAAACATTGATACGCGCGTATCGCTTATTTGTGGACAAGTAAAAATAATTCCGCGCACTTTTTATTTTCGCTGTATTGTTTTTATTTGAAAATGTCGTCAAGTAGTGATGAATTTATTAATTTCCTCGTAAATATATTATAAAACGTCATATGACATACGTGCACTTTGAAAATTACAACCTCTGCTTTCTTATAGCTCTATAGCGCCGATGGCTCGGGCTAGTAATAATCGGGCTGTAATTTTCAACTTACTGCACTTATATCATAATGTACTATTTTGTCTGTGTCTGTTAAATTTTTGACTTTGAATTTCGATAGTCACACATACATAGAAGTTATAGAAACAAAGTTGTAAAACTCAGCCAATTAACAGATAAAATGAAGGACAATAATAGAACTCCGAATAATTAAAAACTCTGTTCCACGGAAACTAGCTTTGATAGCAAAGGAAAGAATATGCGAAACGAGTGAAATAAATCCTAGTGGTAGTGGGTCAACTCTATTATTATTCCGATTGAGGCCGCTTTGTGGCGGGAAGTCTACGTTTCCTAGCACTACTCAACTTCTCCGCAAATGTGTCGAGATTTTAAAGAGTCCTCATGAAACCCAACCAGTTTAATTGAATGGATTTGTACGTGTCGCGAATCGTCTGCCACAAAGGTATCGGGGATTACAATTCCAATTTTCAATTTTCCACTTAACTTTATGTAAGTTAACAGACTTAAGTTAAACTTTATTTTTATTTATTTATCTTTAATTATGTGTGTATATGTTTATTTATTCACTTTTTCGGGTATTGTTCTTGCACTGTATGATATAAATGAGTCAACAGTGTATACTGTGGAGTACCGAAAGAGGTAGAGATATTGAGGCTACCGTGCGAGTTCTAAAGAGATCCCGGGATGCTTCACATTTGTGTCAGAGGTGGTACTGTAGGGTTTTAGTCGATTTAAGTCCGACATAACGTTTTTGCTCTTTCTTAAAAAAGTTATGTTAAACTTAACTTTATAAACCCATTTCGCCAAATACCACTGCGACGGAACAGATGGCGCTAGCGTAGCGGTTTTTACTTTTACATAAGAGACACTTTCCATTCTTAGACCCGCGGTGATCACGGCTGCTGCGAAGCATTCGAAACGTCGGGCCGTAGTTAAATTGTTTTCTAATAAGTTTAACTAATACATATCGCGTTTTAAACCGTTCAAGTGTTTTATTTAAATGTGTACTACTCGCCACAGTCAGTATTTCATTATGTTTCTTTCTTATTTAACTTAATGTGAGACGATACTCGAAATTGTGAATAGAAACATAAATCCCAGTTATGAGTTCGAATTCCTCACTGGTAATCGAACATTTTACTGAAATAAAATATTAAAATTTGCAAGCAATTGACGTCTGTATTTATATCTATTTTCCTGTTATAATCTAGTTTAGAGAGTAGTACAAAATTAAATAGTGTAATAAATTTTAACATTTTTTTTTATGATAGAGGAGGACAGAAAGCTAAGGGTCACGTGATGGTAGGAAATAGCCCAGCCATATAACATCTCAACGAGACATTGCTCGTTGGTCTAATGATAGTAAAGTAGCACCGTTTATTTATGAAACGATGTTTTAGCTTTACAGCAGCCGTGTTCCCCTGAGGTAGTTAAACGTTAACTATACTTATATGATGTATTAGTTTTTCGCGTTTTAACCCTTCAAATGTATTTTATTTAAACGAGTTTTATTTTTTACTATTCAAAAAGTTTGGATTGAATTTAATTAACATGCAGCATGAATTTTGCATTCGGGAATTGGACAATTTTAGTGAAACACAAATGCGCGACGTATGAAAGGTTTTAAAATTTTGATTTACTTGTAACTGCATAAAAATGATGATTTTAGTTTGTTTCAATCGTTGTCTATATTAAGCACATGTTTCTTCATTTCAGGTCGGATTGGTGGGCTTTAATAGAAGTTTTTAAATAATTCTTCTTAATTGCACTAGCAATCGGAATTTGGGTGGATTTTCTAGATAGTGAAATATCATTCCGTCCAGGGATTCGAACCCTTGATTTCGTAATCTGCAGACGAATCGACTATCCACTGTAGCTAAAACAGAATATCCACCAAAAGCAGTTGATGTAATTGAAAAATCGAAATGCCAATAAAGAAATATCGGTTTTCCAAATACGATTTCCATATAAAAACTTCTCTATCGAACTGTGGGCATAGCTAAAGATTTATTACCTCACTTGGTATAGCTACATGCCTGGCGTACAATCGTAAACCGCAACTTGAAGCTCCGAGTGGCTATAAACCGACTGTGCCATACGCTGATTTAAACTATCGCCATAAAACTAAGATGTCCTTTAGATTCCTAATAACAATCGCTGATATGAAAATCGTATTCAAGACCTGAACCCAATTAAACCATCCGCTGTCTTGCTCATAACTATGGGATAAGATAAGGAAAACGGCTTTTACGGTCATAAAACAAAATGAATAACGTATAAAGTTTAATAAGTTCATCGACCGTTCTACAATACCCGTGAAAACATAATTCTTTACGAAAATATTAATAGGCACTATTAAAATGCGACGCTTGATTCGTTCGTTTTACTAGCCATAAAACAGCTTATAAACCGTTTTATAAATTAAATTATATGTTCATACAGAAATATGATCGTGAAATATTGGAATTCACAAGTAAAATCGTATCGTTTAAATTACTGCAGATGTTTCTTAAGGCTGAGGTTGCCTATAAACATAACGTAGATTGGTACCTATAGGTTGTATCGAAAATATTTACTTTTTCACACTCAGACACCGTGACCGTTTATTAACCAGACCGTTACATTACTATCTACGTAGTAGTAGACTAACCCAGTTTGCTAGTATTTCTAAATCACATTGAGTAATTGTTCTCGCCATCAGAAATTGATGACATCATCAATGATACATCAATCAAACGAATCCAAGAACGACTTTATTGATTAAAAGTTACAGCTACCTACAAATTTATACTGAATAGGAAATAACTAATCTACCGACATAACATTCCTTCTCACTAAGCTTATGAAACTAAACTATAAGATATTCTCTGTAGTTTACGCGAGTACGCATTGAAATAAAACGCTTTAACTATTTAAAACTCAATATATTAGTAAAACTTAAAAAATGATAGAGCAGCCGTGGTCGTGGAGACGTGATCACGTGACGTGACGTGGTCGGGCCGTAGTGAACAAAATATTTTCAATAAGTTGAACTGATATATATCGCGTATATATAATTATATGGCCTAAACTAGTGATGTTTCATACCCTCTTTTGTGTGTCAGTTGAACGATACCACGGCCTATGGAAAATTAAAAAGACTAATAAAACCGGAAAATAGCAGGTTCCGGACGTCTCTCATGGGACATTTTCCCGTAAAAGTAAAACGTTTTAAGGTATTCAATGTCGTTTCTGTCAGCGGGATATAAGTTTCGTCGTCGCATTTGTTTACTTGTATTCTGTGTAGTGTAGAAAATTGGAGATGGATGTTGTATTATTTGAAAATATGTTTCAAATAATACAACATCCATCTCCAATTTTCTAAGGAGTAATGTAGGTATTTTAAAAATATGGCAGTTGAAATTGATAAAATATGTTTTTATTATAAGTAGTTTATAAACTAAATTAGTGGTCGTTCGCTGTAGCAATTGTTAAAAATTGTACTACTTACTGTAAAAACGAAAATAAATTCAAAACATTTTCGACTCGGGCAGGACTTGAACCGGCATCGTCAGCGTTCCGTGCTATTGCTCTGTTGGAACGCTGACGATGCAGGTTCAAGTTCTGCCAAAGTCGAAAATTTTTTAAAATTTATTTTCGATTTTTTAATTATACAGTGCCTTCATGTGCAATAAAAACATATTAAAGTTTTCAATTGTACTACTGTACTATTTTGTGACATTAAATATTTATTTTTTTCTTTCTTACTAGAAAACAAATTTTGATTCACGTTGTATATACGAATATTATTAAAATTTCCGTAATGCTTAAATTCGTCCTATTCTTTTGCTAATTTGTAAATCATTTAATAAGACACCCTTTTAGGGAGGTTACTTAATATATTTTTAAAGTAACATTTCGGATGCATTACAAAAACATTACAAAAATAAATAATGGTATCCATCATGATTAATGTAATTCTATGTAAGTGTTTTTACCTGTATGCTGTACAATGCACTGTCGTAAAGCACGTGGAAGGTTAGAAAGAGAGACAGCAGCGTGACGGAGAGGAGGGCCGCAGCAAGCTTGGGCCGCGACACTCCCACCACCAGCACACAGTCCGCCAGCTCGCCGTCTGCTGGTCGAAACGCCGAACGGGGTAACCATCTACGTAGAATAAACGCAGATATAGTATTTTTAGTCCAGTTCATAACTTGCTAGTATAGCTACACAGCTAGGCCCCCATAAAAGAGACTCCCTCCACTGAATTAGAGAAGATAGCCGGGACCGAAGCTACAGCGTGTTCTCTGGGGCATGGATCAGTGATCCAAATCCCAAACTAACATTCTGTCCGACCTGGGATTTGAACTGAGAACACTAGACCTACAAGGCAGTTAAGGCAACTAGAGTTTATTGATTTATTACATTTTGTCTATTAATAATAAAAAATGATGACACGGAAGGAGCATAAACCGGCATCCCAGCGATCCGTGCTGCTGTAACCAATACCAAAAAAAAAGAGATGGCAGCTCAGCCATCTCTTTTTCGTCATCAACGAATTTCTTCCACCTATTGTTGCATTCAGTTTTCGCACAATGTGATTTCAACCGTAAGGAGATATCGAGATTCAATATGGTTTGCAGCTTAAAAATTACAGACTAGCTGTGCCATCGACTTCGTCCGCGAACATCGTTATTTTAGGTATCCAAATTATCGCGTCCCTTCCCGTCCTTCTTGCAAGTTAATCTTAAAAGATAGACATATAGCGTCGCGGACTTTTTTTTTAGATAATTTTAAAAAGGATCATTTTCATCAATTTCCCTCGTTTTGTTCACATTTCTCGCTGTATCTTCGCTTGTATTAGTCACAGCGATGTTTTATAGCCTACCAACACAAAAATAATTTCAACGCGCGTTCAAACAAACAAACTCTTCAGCTTTATATATTAAGTAAGTATAGATAGGTCTAAAAGAAAACCTTTGTTTTTTTTAATTTTTAATGTATAATTTGAAGAATTAATCTGTATTTAAAATTTCATATGTATAATAAACTGTACTTACAGAATATCCAATGGGAGTGATTGCGAGCAGCTCCTATAGTTCGCGTCGGGCCTGAATTTCGAGGGCACAGCCTGGTTCAGGTCTCGCGCCTCCATGGGGATCCCATTTAGCATGTTCCTCGCTCTACATACTTCCCCCTTTAACGCACAATTCTCTCTACTTCATTCTTTAAACCTTGATGTTGTCTAAAAGAGAGCTGTCTTTATTACTGATATGCGGCAAATAAAAATTTAAGACATATAATATTTACTTGCTAATTACAACATTGTGATAAGGAATTCATAATGTTTACTTGTTATTTCATAACTTCGTAACTAATGTCTGTAGTTTATGCGTAAAGTAAAACACTTTTAACGGTTTATAACACGAAATTATATTATTTAACTTGTTTTTAATATAATTTAATTATGACTGTACGTGTCGGATGATTTGCAGCAGCCGTGGTCACTGGGAGACTGAAGATAGAGGGGAGGGTGTTCCTAATGTCAACAGCAAATTCTTACAGATGGCGCTAGTATAGTATCGGCCCGCTAATTTAAATGAATCTGAAGTTAATCAAAACTGTTTTATTTAAATCAATGAATCTGCTGAAAAGTTACGTAGGCATATTAATGACGTAGTAATTATTATAAAACTAATCTTTGTTTAATAAACGCTTATCTTTATGTTTTAGAGTTCACTTTTTGCGGACTCGGAATAATATCGAGTTTCCAAGTAATAAAGCTTACTTTGCAGGGGGCGATTCTCTAAACAGTGATATAGGATTCGAATTTCGCCACTAGTACTTCAAACCCGATAGACTAACTACTAAGCGTTGATTTAAATAAAACAGTTTAACGGTCTAAACGCGATATTTAAACTTATTTGAAGATTGTTCTACGGCCCGACGTTTTAACTATACTGCGTTTTGAACCGTAAAAATGTGTTATTGAAATGTATACTACTTGCGTAAACTACGGACAGCTGAACTAAGTGTTAATGTATCGTTATTTTGAGAATCACCCCCCGGATCTATGGCTGGCCGAGGCCCAAAGTACACGTGCTATTTGAAGAGGCCGTAATACTCCAATTTAGCGAGTACCTTCCTGTTTTATGAATAATATAAGGCTTGAATTGGCGCTAGGCCAATTACACTCATTCGCTCTGTGCCTGCCGGGAAATATCCTTCAAAAGCATAGCTCACTTATTTTAAAGTTAGTAAATTGGACTCTTTGGTATAGTGGTAGCAATATATGGCTTACAATCAACGGGCCGTAGTTTCGATTATAAGGTTTAACATCTTTCTAACCAATTTACAATCTTTCTGAAACACCTCGGACTTTACCTGGAAATCTGGATGTTAAATGAGTGGTAGGAATATCGAGGTGCCGTCCGATATACGAATCACCGTTCACACATAAAAAGCCGCGAAGTAAGTCGCGTTTCGGCTTCAGTCTGTGGATTTACAAATATCCAAAGCCAAACGTTTTACTTATTAGATACTCGCATTGTCCATCTAGAAATATGAAAGCCTCTGGAGAAGCGTCATCCAGTCTTAATAGAAAGTTTTTCGATGCTTTGTTACGTAACGTTATTTATATAAAACACTTATAACAGTTCAGGACGCAAAGTGTATTAGTTGAACTTATTTACAATTTATTTTACGGCCCGACATTTCAGATGCATTGCTAATATTTCACGTTTGAAACTGTTTTATATTAAAGTGTACTATTCGCGTAAACTAGATACAGTACTTAGTTTCGTTATTTTATATATTGACAGTATGTGGCAGTATTTCAATTAATAACTTAACTTATGAGTCGTAACTAAACATTTGATAATAATGCATATTTTGGACAATATTTATTTTTAGCAATAATGTAAGAACTTGAATTAGTTCTTAAAATTTTCCAAATTATGTACTTCCTAAAGGGATAATAAATTATATTCTATTAATGTTTCATTGTCATTATTTCTCATGAACGCTAGACTTTAGTGCGGTAGGTTAACAGGGACAATAGATCGAAACAAATTTAAATAAAACACTTTAAAGGGTCAATACGCGATATATATTAGTTAAACTTATTTGAAGCAGCCGTGGTCGCGAAAACGAATATATATCGCGTTTTAAACCGTTAAAGTGTTTTATTTAAATGTGTATTACTCGCTTACACTACAGATGATAGTATTTAGATCGAAAGCCTTTTATTCTAATACAACTATACCATATCTAAGTAGTTGAGTATAGCATATCTCAGTTAAAATAATTTTAAGTGTGTGTTTAAAAATGATATTAAACAATGTTCCACTTCTGGTGCCTGTCCGTAATATAAATGAACTAGACGTGTGGAAAATTACATACCATATTCCAAAGCACGCCTCGCCGTACCTGCAATAAGGGGAAATATTTTTAGTGAAAACCGCAAAAATGAAATAGATTTAACAGCGCAAACAGGAAAATTTTAATGAAGCTTCACCTATTATTTTGTACCTATATGGTTTTGTTAATGAACTTTGTATAATAAACGACTAATGTGTGTGAAATCCCGTTTCCCCCCTCGTGGGCCATGGGGTGAACATATTTTTGTGTCCGTTTCACTGATCCGTTCTTTAACAGGCAAGTAGTCTGATAAACATCAGACTACTTTGCCCTGCCTGACCGAAATATTTTTTGTTTCCCTGGGATTCAAACCCAGGACCTCTCGCGCTTAACGCTAGGTATTTAAATAAAACACTTTAACGGTTTAAAACGCGATATATTAGTTAAACTTATTTGAAAATTATTTTTAATTCGGCCCGACGTTTCGGATGCTTTGCAGCAGCCGTGGTCACGGCTGTACTACTCGCGTAAACTATAGGCAATGCTAGGCAATACGTTTAACCATTTGGCTACAGAGGCGGCTTTCATACATCCATTCCAACCATCTCTATAGCAGACTCGAATCCTAGCCGCGGGGATTGTAAAATGGCGTATTATTAGTGCCCGACTATGAAATTAAGAATAAAAATATTTTTCACCAACCTACAATACTCACATCGTTATTATTTTGACCCGAGCCATTATATAGAAATGTGAAAACAGAATGTACAAAGGGAAGTGCTGTGAAAGTCCTTTGTCCTTTAATCTTCGAGTATAATAACGCACCATAGCGAAGCATTACCGCAGTGGAATTCAAGTGGGTTTTGTTAGTGGTAATTGCTTAATGACTTGCAAAATTCGCTTCGGCTATTAGGCGTCTCGTACCGTTCTAGCGATACACGTTTATACAACTCGACGATCAAGGATCAATTTCATCGATTCTTTCACCTATTTAGGTCCCACTACTGAACTAACGAATTTCAGAGGTTGACCCACCACCCTGCTTATTGATGATTGGCAGATTTAAACGATCACCACTACTTGACCTTGACCGATAGTAACCTGGACTTACGTTTTATATTTTTTTTCACACACAGTGATGATAAATCGTTGTATTTGCAAAGTCTAGGAGTATATTATACTATAAATTAAAAAAAAGTCTTAAATTGTATATTGTGTGTAATTTACGCGAGTAGCGCACATTTAAACAAAATACTTTAACGGTTTAAAACTCAATATCCGGATATATCGGAGCCCGACGTTTCAGATGCTTTGCAGCAGCCATGGTCACTGGGGGGAAACGTCGGGCCGAAGTTAAAAATCATTTTCAAATAAGTTTAACTAATATATCGCGTTTTAAACCGTTGAAGTGTTTTATTTAAATGTGTACTACTTGTGTAAACTATAGACAGTATTTAAAGAAAACACTTTTAACTGTTTAAAATGCTAAATATACTACTTATCATTAATCTTATTTAACTGCAGCTCGACGTTTCAGATGCTTTGCAACGGACGCAGTCACAAGTCATAGGGGGGATTGAGGATGGAGGGTGTACCTCACGTCAAATTAAAACTGCTACGCTAGCGCCATCTGTTTCGTCCTGGTAAGTATTATTATGTTACAGTAGTAAATGTAAAACTAACGTAGGGTTTGATTCCGTATTTTTAGAAACAAATATTAATTTACTCCTTAAAATAAAAACAGTGACAGTGACTACTAACAGATTTTTAATATTTAAAATGGCATGTCGCATGGCTTATACTACTTAGTATTCTGCCAATAGAATGGCTTTTCGAATCGGATTTATGCATACATAAATCCTGTAACAGCAGGATGTTTGTGTGTGCCGTATTAATCAATGCCAAACCGCCAATACTGGTTTTAAAGTATTACAAATGTCTCAATTGATCAGTTGATGGCTTGTTGCTAATACTAAATATGCCTTGTACAAACAAGAAGTTAAAGCAGATAGCTCTTAGAAGATCTGCTCTTTGGCAGGAAAAGGTCATAAAAAATAAATAAGCAGGTAAATTATGAGTAAAAAAAACTAACACCTTTAAGACAGGATGACAAAGGACACGATGGAAGGTGAAATATCCCAGCCATGAAAGTAAAATTGAGATGCGCTGTCGGCTTATTTTGGCTCATGTCATTCGGAAACCGTGTCTTGACGGCTTTTTTACCTGTCACCGACGGAATACAGGTACTACCCATTCTTATATAGAAATTTGGGTTCCAGTGGGGATCTAACCCACGACCTGTTCTAGTAAATAATTAGAGCAAACTTCGTGGAAAGTTGCTACCAAAATAGCAACATCCACGAAGTTCCTACCCCTTTCATCTATCATTTCTCAACAAAATATAGAACCAAAGATTAAAAAAAATTAGCAATACATTGCTCCATTAGACCAACAAAGCACTTTTTGCAGTCAGAATCAAACACCTAAGATAAAGACACTGTACGTAAAGTTTACCGGTAAACAAGCAGACACCGTGAGTCAGTTCTGTAGGGACCCAGCCAATTTTTCCAAATACCATCTTCCCCCCGTGACCACGACTAACACAAAGCAGTGGAATCGTTGGTTCGTTAAATTAATAATAGGTTAAGTAATATATTCTACATTTGAAGCCTTTTAAACCGATTTAACAGTATTTAAATAAATAAGTCTATACCGGATGGAATAAAAAGTAATCGAATAAAACCTTCTTAGTAGATTTGCTAAGCACATCAACATGATTGAATTTCGTACAGTGTATTGACGTTTTTAACTTAA